GGTTTAAACATTTAAATCATCTTAAAGCTAGAAAATATTATTAAATTAGCATAATACGTGAAGTCAAAATGAAAGGTCATCATTAGAACTTACACAAATGATCAGTTTAGTCATGTTAGTTAGATAATTACGTATTACAATTTAAAAATATTTCATGTGATGGTATCTTACCGAACACTTCTTTGTAGATGATATATTTTTGTATATGTTTCCTTCTAATGCTTTGGTTGCTCTGTCATAACCCGAACTCTTGTTGTCAATATTGATATTCCTCTTGAAAGTGCAACATATAGTTGTTCGTGCAAGAAAATATATTGCAATAAATATAGTCTAATATTTAGGATGTTTGTGCTTGTGCTTTATTTATCATAATTGTAAAATATAAACATACCTAAAATTATTTTCACACGAATTTAAAAGAATATTCTTTTGTTTCGGAAGATAAACGTTGAATTCGAGGATAAAATATACTTAGAAGTATATTGACCAGTATCATAATTTTTTCATGTATGACGTTATTGTCAAAACTTCTATATACCATTACATAAGCTATTCGGCGGATCTAAATTTTTCAGTAGCATGATGGGCATATTTTTTTTCAAAATCAATGTATATGCAATGCAAGATCAATTAATTTTAACTTAGTATAGTATACTATATATATATATATATATATATATATGTATATATATATATGGTGACACTAACATATGTAAGAATTAATAAACTTGACAACAAACATGTGTGGTAGAAGGCCATTTGGTATTAAAGTACTTAAGTATTCTTCTTGGTAGTAATTGTTGGTATCATCTTTTGCTGAGTCAAAAACTGAAAAATATTGTATTTTTACCATAAAATTTTGCAATCAACCTTTTATATAGTTGATCATATATTCATTTGTACTGACTAAGATACCTTTTTAATTTCTATCATGTAATTTATATAAATTATGTTTTAATACAATGATAGAAATATTTCTCTTTTTAAATGCACTATTATTACGAAATCATCTTTTATTAGATGCTCTTCTTCGTCTCCGACACGAAGCAAGAAGTTACCGAATAATGGATCTGCTCTTAGTTTATATTTTTTGTCAGTTGAATTTTTTTCATTTGAGGCCATAAATCTAATTTGACAAGCTAGTTTTTACGGTCTTTGCTTTCGTCGATTTTGGAACTATTAGTAGTTGATAGAAACCACCTTCCAAATTATTAATTTTTCACTAAACGGTTCATTTATATTCAATATATCTCCAGAACTCCGGGTAATTATCGTTTGACACTTAGCCATAAGTGTTTCATCCCATATTATTAATTTTGTTTTCCTTAGAAATTTAGCAACATTACTCTGCTTTGATATATTTGTGATGGTTATTTCAGTTGGTTGAAGAGGTATATCAAATCTAAAGTGACTGACCTCATAATAAAATCATTTCTGGTACACTATTTGTTATTATTGCTAACAGTATCATGCCTCTTGATTGATATTTGCAAGTAATGCATGACATAGAAATATTATTTCGATTCCGTCAAAGGCATCTACAAAAGATAATCCCGCTAGGACAGAGTTGACTCTTTATGCTCTACTAACCTTTTTTATTTTGTGTTCTAACGCTTTTTTTTATGGAATAAATTTATGTACTCTAAGATTATTTTTAACTTGAATAAGAATTTTACTCATATGATGAATTTAAAAAATAATGAAATTGGATTCTCTTGCTAAATAATTAATTAAAAGATTTAATTATTTGGTTTTAATATAAAAAAAACTATTCTATGTTGATTCAATATTTTAGGGCTATTTTGGTATATTAATTATGCTTTTATAATAATACATGCTCTTCTTTTTCTAAATGGATTTGGACAATATAATACATTCTCAAATTAAATTAGTAATAGGACATTAGAATACGTTTTCAAATTAAATTAATAACATAAATTTTTAAGAAGTATATCCTACAAATAATAGGATTACATGACTAAATAATTATTACTTTTCCTAGCAGTGATTACTTTTTCTACGCTAATGGTAATACTAATTGTAAAAATATTTGCCGTAGTAAATTATAAAAATAGAAAAGTATAATTTAATAACCAAACTTTTAAATAAATTACTTATCGATTTAAAATTAAGAATGGCAAATAGTTTGGTATGAAAGAACATATAGAGGAAAACNATATATATATAATTTACAAGAAAATGTGTTAGATAAAAAATTTCAAAAAAAAAATAGCCCGGACCACTTAGGCCCGTTTAGGCCCGTGGGCCCGGCCCATTTAGCCCGGGACCTGTGGGCTTAGGCCCACAACGGGCCGGTTCCATCATTTGGGACCGTTTGGCCTGGGACCGCCAGAGCCCGGCCCGTCAAAGCCCAGGCCCGTTAGGCCCATTTAGGCCGGGGCCCGGACCAGAATACAGCCTTACCTAAAACTAATAGGATTATAAGTTTAATATCTAGAATTCTGGTTATGTCCTTTTATTATGAGTTATTATACTTAATATTATAAGGTTATTTTTATAAACCGACATTGTATTCATGCTTTTATAATAATATAGATAGATATAGATATAGATAGATAGATATAGATATAGATATAGATATAGATATAGATAGATAGATATACACAAACATAATTTTTCGCTAAAGGAATATCAATCGGATGATACGTGGCAAGCACATGATGATTAACTGCGTTTGTTTATTTAGTATAATTTTTGTGGAATTAATTAAAAAATTACTGTGAAGGTGTCTTTTCAGTTTGTTCAATATTCCTTATCATTATCATTACACTAAGAAGGACAAGGCTCTTGATTAAGCTCTAGATGGCAGACAAGGTTCTCCAATTTCTTCTAAATAAATGATTAATAAACAAACTTCCGTGAGAAAACCAAATACAATGTGCAAACTGAAACAAATCTCAAATAAAACGCTCAAATATGTCAAAAAGGAATGAATTATTTCATGTACGCATTCATGTTTACTTTATGGTATCTTATTTTTGCAAGTTTATCAATGACGTTGGATGACAGCAAATTACTAATTGCACCAAATTTTGGCATGTCTTAGATTCTTTTAATGTGTATGATCAAATTAAAGGAGGTATTTTTCCCTCCTTGAGGATAAAGAGAGGAATCAGTTTGTAGCATGAGACTTGCTTGTTATCACTAGCGTCAAAGCTAGGATTTTTACTAAGGAGTTCAAAAATAAAGAAGTAAACACATAAGAAAGTCAAGAGTATTCATCAGTTGTTATATATATAGAAAAATAATTTTAACATGTATATATACCGGGGCGGATCCACCTCCCGACCTAAGGGTTCACGTGAACTCAGTAGTTTTTGTCCAAACAATGTCAATGTATTTGAAAAATTTACTAAATATCTATCAATGTTTGAATGTGAATCCAGTTACTATTAAAAATTTACTCGAAGTCGGTGCAGGAACCCATAAGTATTAAATCTCGCATCCGTCTCTCTCTCTCTCTCTCTCTATCTATCTATCTATCTATCTATCTATCTATCTATCTATCTATCTATCTATATATATATATATATATATATATATATATATATATATA